CGCTTTCGGAAAAACCCTGGAATAAGTCTGCTGGGGCTGGCTCCCGGCAAGAAAAATCCTCTAGCCAATAGAAAAGAAATTTCTACTGTGGTGAATAGCACATGAATAAGAGAACCAATGGAATTTTCCACTGAAAACAACTAACCAGATCACTGTAACTTAAGCTTTCGCCAACAATTCCCACCTATACCAAAGGGCTCCAAAGTTTTCAATGTTGCACCTCCAAATAAGACATTTAAGTTAATTAAGCATCAAATGCAGATACCAAAAAAAAAAAAAAAAGAGGAACACAAATTAGATATAGTAAAAATTGTGCAAAAAGAAAATAAATTATTTTTAAAATGAATGAGAGAAATGAAGACATAAAAAAGATATCTGTTGTTGTTAATTGTCATGAAATTGATTCTAGCACATAGGGACCCTATATAGGGTTTCCAAGGAATCACTGGTCAGTGTGAACTGCTGACCTTGTGGCAAACAGTCCAGTACTTATTCTAATTATGCAGAAAGGGAATAACTTGTAAAGATAATTGCTATGATAGGAACGTGGAGAAAATGATGATATGGCACCTTTCACAAAAGAATAGTTATAAACCAGAGATCTACACAGTAACTTTAGTATTAAAAAAAAAAAGTAGCAAAGTGAAAAAGTTTGTGAACTTTTTGGAAGGTAAAGCTGACAGAAGGCAAAATGACTTAAGACAGAAAAAGAGATAAAAATTTTAAAAAATCGTTGAAATGCCCATTATCCAAATAAAAAGTGATCAAAAAAGAGAAAAAGTGAAAATATTATTAAATATATAATTCAAGAAAAATGCTTAGAAATTAAGGTCATAATTTTTCAAACAAAAAGACCTATTGCATGATCAGTTTGAGAGAACTGAAATAATTCTTTCCCATTGTTTTTAAAATATCCATTCATGTTCATAATTTTTAAGTAAAGCTAGATAAGAAAATACTAGTTTTTCTTTCATATTTTAATATGAATAAGACAAATTTACTCCTTAGATAATCTCTGTTGATAGACCTTTCTTTCAAAATACAATTTACCGTGCAAATCTTGTAAAATGAAAATGTGATAGGACACATATCATTAATTTTCAAATTCATTATGGTTTAGACCAGTATTTTCCAAAATGATAATGAATTAGACCAGCTATAAATCATAATCCCTTTCTTGTTGTTGTTGTTGTCAAGTGCTGTCGACTTGGTTCTGACTCATAGTGACCCTGTATAGGGTTTCTGAGGAGCTACTGGTGAGCTTGAACCACCAACCTTGCAGTTCAAACTGACTTTGTAATCCAGCGCATTAACTTACAGCGCCAGAAAACAGTAAAATATAATATGTACACCACATTCCTACTTTTTGTGTTTTTCAAAAATTTGCTTTTAGAAACTATTATTTTATTGTGCTTTTGGTGAGAGTATACATTTAGTAAGTTAGCTTCCCATTTGACAGTGTTCATACAAATTCATAAATGACATTAGTTACGTTTTCCACAGTTTCAACATTCTCTTTGGTTGTATTCTGATGGTTCAATTTCTAGAATTCTATTTTCCCTGTGTCTTTATTTTTTCATCTTTGCATTAGATTGAATGTTGAGCATTTGGACTCATATATATTTGGGGTGGGGGGAGTAGAGCACTGATTGAAAGGGAAATATCTTTGATTTTGTGTGTCACTGCAATTCTGCTAAAAGGTGATTTAAGGGATTATTTTGGTTCAGGGTTTAAAGTGTGCTTTAGGGCAAAAGTATCAGGAAGTTTCTCTGGTTCCAAAAGATTATCCATTGTTGATTTATTTTAATAAAATTGTAAACATTTCCCAGCATTTTCATTTCCATTAAACATTATCAGTTTACAAGATCAAAAATAGAACCAAATTTAAAGTCAACAATGTATCGTATAAAAAATGTTATTTTATAAGCTTTTAAAGTTAATAAAATATAAAGTAATACAAGCAAAAAATAAACTCACCAAATTTTTTTCAACAACAACATGAATTTCTAAATATCGAGTATATGATGCATTGTTATCCGATTGTAACTATACAGAAAGGAATCCACAAAATTCATGTTAAAATAGAATAATCCCTTATTTTAATACATATGAGCTTATTAATGAACTCAAAATTGGATAATATATTTCATATATGTAAATACAACCACATGTTTTTAAGTGCATGGCATCAGTTCAGACTCACAGGGACTCTGCACAAGTTTCCAAGGCTTTACATCATCATAGGAGCAAAAAGCCACATCTTTCTTCCATGGAGTGAATGGAGAGCTCCATTGATGAACCTTGTGGTTTGTAGTCCAATGGTTATTATGTATGGAGCCAACACACTCGAAAAACTAGATACCACAGAATAATTTTAACTATTTCCTTAAGCACATTATACATTTAATCACCCATTTTATTTACCCCCCCCAAAAGGTATCTCTATTCTTTCCTTCATTTTCTTTATTCTCACGGCTACTGCGCTACTGACATGTCTTCTGTGAAGAAATACTCTCATCAACTTCTTAGTTTGAAATGTGTGTATTGCTACTAGTTAAATGGTTACAATATTACATTGTTGTTGTTGTTAAGTGCCGTCGAGTCGGTTCCGACCCATAGCGACCCTGTACAGGGTTTCCAAGGGTGCAAATCTTTACGGGAGTAGAAAGCCTCATCTTTCTCCCGCGGAGTGGCTGCTAGTTTCGAACTGCTGAACTTAAGGTTCGTAGCCCGATTCGTAACCACTACGCTTATATCCATGCGTCTGACTACATCAAAATGCTTAAGCGATTTCACCATTTCACGTCAAGGATGAAACCACTTTTTTCATAAGTTACCTTATCTTAATAATAGACATATTCATACTGGGAAATGTTACAGATATAGATAATATCAGAGAGATAAAGTTACTGTCTTCATTTCTGGAATACAAATACATCAAGGTGGACTGAAAATGATAATGTCATCCACTTAGATTACAGTGACTAAGGAACTCCTGGTGTGGCACTCTAGAATCAGCACTGAACTGCCAGCTACAGGGTTAGCAATTCAAACCCACGACTTAGTAAGAGTTGGCACTGACACAATGGCACTTAACACTACCACCAACAAAGGAATATCTGCTGAAGTGAGGCAACATGGAGTTTGAATCTTGGTTTAATCATTTCGTGACTTAACTTTTTTCATATGAAATGATTATTACATAACCCAGAAGTCTATGAAAGACTTTGAGACTAGATTGCAGGTATTTCAGAATAGTCACTAAAATATATTACCTGTAGCCTAGGATACAACTCTTATAAAAGCAAAACAGGGAAACCTGAATTCAGAAAATGTGAAGCAAATTCAATTATTCATTTGAAATCATCTGGATTTTCTTTTGTCTTTGGTATTTAATCCTATGACCTGTTTAAGCTTTCATTTTAAGAATTTTTTTCCAATCGACTGAAGAAAACATGAGAGAGGTTTCCATAGGGTACAGAGCAGGTAACTGGTGGTTACAGTAACTTAAAAGTCCTTCTTACAGTACAAAACCTTCTTCCGGTTTTCTTTTTAAGGACCAGGTGTTAAATTGGAAACTTCTTGTTAACTCAGCCATCATGCTGTATTTGAATTTCTCTTTCCAGGCTCAAACAAAGAAGATTAAGGCTTTTGTTTTAAAAATGCAGATTTTTATTTCAAAATACATTATTTTAAGCCCTAACAATCATTTAGCAATTTCAATTTATCTTAAAAATAATGAAATGGGGATGTGAATATATACCTTATTAGACTCCAAAGTCATAATAAGAATTCTAACCAAGAAAACTAACGGACTGTAAAATTTATATATATATATATATATATATTTTTTTTTTTATGACCAAACATAAATGTTTTTTAGTCTTCCAAAAGGAGCTCTGGTAGCATAGTGGTTACGAATCAGCTGCGAACCTTAGGGTCAGCAGTTTGAAACTACTGGGAGGAAGATGAGGCTTTCTGCTCTTGTAAAGATTTACAGCCTCGAAACCGACTCCGCGGCACATAACAACAACAACAACAACAATATTTCTTGAGATAACTCTTGTTTATTTGCATATTTGAAATTGGGGAACTTGAGCTTGTTGATTTATTGATTCCATAAGTTAATTACTGAAGAGTAACTTATTCAATCACCACTTAGCTGTCAGTTTGTCAAACTGTTGTGGTTTCTGTGTTGCTCTGAAGCTGAAAGCTATGCCATCAGTATTTTAAATATCAGAAGAGCCAACTATGATAGACAGGTTTCAGGGAACATCCAGACTAAAACACACAAGGAAAAAGAAGGCAGTGGTCACATTTATTATTTATTGTTAACAATGGAACATTTTCTGGTATGGTGACGAAAGATAAACCCCTCAGGTTGGAATGCTTCAACATATGAGTGGGGAAGAGCTGCCTACTCAAGGTGGAGCTGACCTTAATGACATGCATGGAACAAAGCCTTCAGGACTTTCATTTGCTGATGGGGCACAACTCAAAATGAGAAGACAAATCCAAACACTGATTAATAATTGGAATGTGGAATGTATGAAATACGAATCTAGGAAAATTGGAAGTTGTCAAAAATGAAATGGAATGCATAAAGATCAATCTCTTAGGTTTTGTTGTTATTGTTAAATGCCGTTGAGTCAGTTCTGACCTATAGCGACCCTGTCACTCCCAGGAGTGACTGGTGAGCTTGAACTGCTGACCTTGCAGTTCAAATGGTTTTGCAGTCTAGTGCATTAACCCACAGTGCCACACCAGGACTCCCTGAAATGGACAGGTATTATCCATTTTGAATTGGATATTCACATGGTTTATTATGATAAGAACAACAGACTAAATAGGAATTACATCACATTCATTGTCAATAAAGAGCATTTCAAGATCTATCTTCAAGTGCAATGCTGCCTGAGTTAGGATAATATACAGAGTTTACAAGGAGGACCAGTCAATACTACTATTACTCAAATTTACACACCAACAACCAGAGTCAGTAAACTGAAGAATTCAACCAATTTTTTCACTCCGATATTGATCAAATATGCAGTCAAAATGAATTATTGAAATGCAAAAGTTGGAAACAAAGGAAAAGGATCTAGAGTTGAAAAATATGACCTTGGTGAAAGAAACATACTTGTTGATCGCATGATAGAAATTTGCAAAACCAATAATTTTTACATTGTCAACTAAATGCCTTTTGTTGATAACATGAAAAGTTTACTATACACATGGATCTCACAGACAGAATACATAGGCATCAAATTCAGACAATGGAGAAGATCAAAATCATCAAAAAACAAAACAAAAAAATAAGGGCCAATTGTGGAACAAACATCAGTTGCTCATACGCAAGTTCAGGCTGAAGCAGAAGAAAATTAAAACAAGTCCATTAGAGTCAAAATATGACTTTGAATATATTCCACCTGGATTTAGAGCAACTTCAAGAATATATTTGATGCATTAGACACTAATGACTGAAGACTAGAAGATCAAGATTATCACACATGAAGAAAACAAAAAGGTCATTCAAAAGACAGGATAGAAAAGACCAAGATAGGTGTCAGAAGATACTCTGAAGCTTGTTCTTGAGTGTAGAGAAATTAAAGCGACAGAAGAAATAAGTTAAAAAAAGCTAAGCAGAAAATTACAAAAGGCAGTATTAGAAGATAAAAAATATTATAGTGGAATGTACAAAGACCTAGAATTAGAAAACAAAGAGAGAAGAAAACACTCAGCATTTCTCAAGCTGTAACAACTGAAGAAAAAGTCAAGTTGAGAATTGTAATATTCAAGTATCTAATTAAAGCCAAGAAATCTGGAAGACAGCTACTTGGCCTACCAAATGAAAGGGATCCATATTTGTGCCCATTCCAAAGAGAGCTGGCTCAAAGGAATACAGAAATCATTGAACAATATCATCAATATGACATTGACATAAATTTTTTGGTGAAAATAATTTTAAAATGGTTGCAACAGTGCACGGACAGTTCAGTGCTTATCCTACAGCACTACACCAGGATTCCTCTTTTGGTTTAAGTTATTTTATTATTTTTTTTTCCTGGTTGCTGCCAATATATATATTTCTTTTTCCTCTTTATTATTTTATCTTTTCATTGGTGGCTCTTCTTTATTCTGTTTTGTTTTCTTATGTGTGTGTGAAGTGGTTTTCTCTTTCCTAACCAAGAAGAGACAGCAACTGTGCCCATACCAACCAGCCATAACTTAGGCAACAGTCAATACCAACCCCTATGCTACCTGATCAATGACAGATAGCAGTGAACACAAGCCAAATCCACTCTAAACCAAGGTGTATGAATGGCATATGACAACATTATACACACATCCAACCTCTAACTATACTCACAGATGACAGTAGGTGATAGTCTAAGGACACATCAACAAATAGTCATTTATTAAATACATATATGACACTCCACAATATGTGGGAAACAACAGACAATTTTAGCTCACATAAAGAAACAAGAGATGGAGATCATCAGTGAAAACAAGGCCAGGGGCAGACTATGGAACAGGCCATCAATCTCTCATATGCAAATTTAAACTGAAGCTGAAGAAAATAAAAACAAGTCCATGAGAGCCAAAATATGACCTTGAATATATCCCACCTGAATTTAGAGATCATCTGAAGAACAGA